CAAAAAGATACGCATAGTGGATGTAAGAAAAGAATCCCGACGCTAAGACAACTATTCAATTTCTTCGCCAAGATGGGTTGCTCCCATCACAAAATAGCCTTCCTACCTGTCTAAAGTGTGGTGCTGAAAACCGAAAAATAACAAGGGAAAAAAAAAAAAAAAGAAAAAAAAAAAGATGAAAAATACAAAAGTCTAAGAGGTTCCTACAAAGGATGCCAAATGTATCAATCGAAAACAAAACTCTTTTTTTACCTTTGAGGATGTTAGAAGTCGCTGAAATAGCAAACTTTCATTACCAGAGATTTTGGAACTATGAAACTTCCCAAGTAACTACTCAGAATTTTACTGATAAAACACATCACACTGTGTGCGATTAGTACAATTTGTGTCATGATGTCAGTGTAGAGATGTTCGAAAAGAGACAACCCTTGGGAAACCCCGGGCAAATGGTGGAAATTGATGAAGAAATGAGGAAAATGAAAATATAAGGGGGGGGTCGCATGCTTCTTGGAAATGAAAAAGGGGAAGAGCTGTCTTCAGATGATTCTGACACAGAAGACATTGTAAATAAAAGAAACTCTGAAAAACAAATTGAAGGACCCTGGGTAGAGCGTGGCGAATGGATAAAATGGAAACACATTTTTTCATCATTGAATGGAGAGATGCCACAATGTTACAACAAATAATATAGTGGGAAATAAGATGCAGTTTAACTATCATGAGTGATGAATGGCCACTTTATAAAGGGCCAAGTCAACTGGGATATAATCATTGAACCATAAACCACCAAAAGAACTTTATGAATCCTGCAGATGGCACCAACACCCAAACGACTGAATAGTGTTGGGGGGATTTCGAAACCGAAAATTTTATGAAACATGCTGTGTACTACAGCAGAAATGCTTCCACGTCACCTTGCTGAAGCTTGGTGGAGATCCATTAATAAAAGTGAAGAGCAGTTTTGGGCCATATTGAGTGACATTTGTATTCTGTATAGGTAAATGATCTTTTTAAAGGTCAATTCTGTTTCTGTTTTTGTAAAGTTTAATGGAAATGAAAACTCGATAAAATTTTAAATTAAATAAACTAATTCCATTTATTTTTAATAAATTTGTTTTTTTATTATTAATTCAATATAGTTTTAATTAATTCATTTATTATTATTATTTCAATATGTTTAACAGTAGCGCCATCTAAGAACTAACTAAATAACTAATACATAATAGGTAGATCACCTGCTGCGTTAATACCAAAATTTAAGTTCAAAACTGATCAAATAAATAAGTAAATATACTGGAACCTCGAGATTCAAGCATCTTTATATACGAGAAATATGAGATGCAAGGAAAGTATGAGCAAAAATTTCATCTCTAAATATGAGCACTGATTCCAGTAATGAGCAACGAGCCAGGCTGTTGGTATAAGTGCCGCATTTCCCATTCTAGCTTGACTCGGAGAATCCCCTTGTGAGATCACTTAGTGTTCTTTGATCTCTGTGTTTGTGAGCTTATCAGTTAATTGTTTTTTACATTTAATATGAAAATAACTATTTCATGATGCTTCCCAAGAAGATTATTGCCTCAGATAATGCTGCAAAGGAAAAGAAGGAAGGCTTGACCGTTGAAATTAAGAAAGAAATCATAGATAAACTTAAGCATGGTGTAAAAGGGAAGGAATTGGCAAAGATTTATGGCTGTTTGACATTGAAAATATGCACTGTTCTGAAGAAGAAGGAATAAATTAAGAAACTTGATATGGCTAAAGGAGTCATGCTACTTCCAAGCACCATCCAAAACACCTGAAAGATGCTGATCTGCACTTGGACCTTCTCCAAAAAAACACCAGGTACATTGACTGAAGATGAGATGGCATTTAAGGCAAGCTGTGGATGGTAAAAAAATTTTTTAAAAGGGAACCAGTGCTCACAGTGTTGTGTGATACGGGGAGGCTGCAAGCTCTGATACAGCTGCTGCTAATAAATTTCGGCCTGAGTTTCTACAATTTAATAATGATGAGGGTTTTCTTCCCCAGCAAGTGTTTAGTTGTGACTACACAGGTCTTTTATGGAAGAAAATGCCTAAGAGGTCCTACATCATACAAGAGGAGAAATCTTTGCCTAGCCATAAGGCAATGAAAGATAGGTTTACCCTCTCGTTTTGCGCCAACGCAAACGGAGATTGTAAAATCAAGCCATTGCTCCTCTACCACTCAGAAAAATCTATGAGCTTTCAAGAGGCGGAAGGTGCAGAAAAACCAAATGAATGTGATGTGGTGGGACAACAGCAAATTCTGGGTAACATGGTAATTTTTCATTAAGTGGCTCAGTGAAGTTTTTAATCCCTCAGTGAAGAAATACCTTCACAACAATAAGTTGCCACTCAAGGCTTTGGTCATCCTTGATAATGTTCCTGTGCATCCTCCAGGGTTTGGAGATGATTTGTCGGAGGAATTTTAGTTCATAAAAATCAAGTTTCTTCCTCCTAACAACACTCCACTTCTCCAGACTATGGACAGTAAGTTATTTTCAACTTTAAGAACCTGTACACGAAGGAATTGTTTCAAAGGTGTTTTGAAGTAACCAAAAATACAAGCCTTACACTGACAGAATTTTGGAATTATCACTTCAACATCCTAAATTGTTTAAATTTCATTAATAAAGCTTGGGAAGAAGTCTCAGCATTTGTCTTCTTTAGATACAGTAGATTTTCGTTGATCAAAGTGTATTTAGAGAGTGATACTCGACTTAAAATTTGACGTCTTTAATATTTAGTGCAGCACTTTTCTGATTCTGGATGAGATCCTGTGATTCATCTACGATGGACTCAGTTGTAAGATCATATTCAGAGTTACTATCTGGCATCACATTGAGATGACTCATTTTATGATGTAGACATATATGATAGTTATTATAACAAAAAGTAAGGAAATTTGTATTACAATAGAGAAAAATATCTTTGTAGAAATAATAAGTGAATATGATTATAAAATGGTTAAATAAACATGATATACATATCAATGGAACATTTAAGGTAATATTATACTATAGTTAAAAATATAATATTAAAAAATAAAAGAAGATATATATATAATAAATATAAAAATAATGACAATAATTTTATTATGACTGAAAAGTGGATTTACAGGTAATGTAATATGAGGTTTAAGGTACTGTTATAAAAACTAGATGAAAGCTGTTTTTTTAGCAAGTTGCCAAAAATTGCTAAATTATTTATTTTTATACATAAAATACAAAAGTAGTTTATGTATAAAAATAAATAATTTAGCAATACGTTTATATGAAATTCTTATAATGTCATATAAATTTTTGTGGCTGGAATAAATATTTACTTATGTAAAGTGTTTTATATCAAGTGCAGTTTCATATTTGAGCATGTGCATTGTTAGCAACAAATTCTATTAAATTTAAATAGTAAAAGATACAAGAAAAAATAAAGAGAATCAGTATAACTTTTGAAGTTTTTTAAATACAGAAATAAGGCTTATATCAAAAAGAGAGAAAATTTTAATTTATAAAACTATTATAAGTTTTATCTAATTTTATTCAAGCTAATCAGTTGAAAATTTAAAATATCCAATACTGTTATAACATCAATAGTTGCAACATGAAAAATTATTATTTTTAGTATCAAGATAATATTAAAATTTTAATTAAAAATTGTAATTACTTAAACAGGTATGAATTGACACTTCTTATTTTCTGCACTTATTCTAATTTTTCACATTTTGCTTTCTTTTATTTTGTGGTTTCTTTTTTTTCTCTATAGGTGATAGTATTGTCTGTCCTGAGCAATTGTTCAACAGCATACATTAACATTAAAAAAATTTCTGTCCTTTGGTAGTATATTTTGTGCCATTTTACAAATCATTATCCTAATATCACCAGGTGTTATTTTTAAATGTTCAATTATCACACAGAAAGCAACTTACTGTCATTAAAATTAAATTTAAATTTCAAAAGTGAAATTTTAACTTTTAAATGGCTTTTTCTCAAAACATTATTATTATTATTATTATTATTATTTATTTTGACTTGCTCTCAAAATTTCAGAGCATAATATCAGGACAACAATTTAAATAAACTATAATTATGAAGATGCATTAAATAAAATGTATTTTTTTCAGCATAATTGCATCCATATATCAGGACAATTTACATAAACCATAATTATGAAGATGCATTAAATAAATGTATTTTTTCAGCATAATTGCATCCAAAAAATTAGCATTAATTACATTTTTAACATTAATGTTTAATTAATTTTAAAAATTGAACTAATTAAAAGATTATAGTTCAGATCACAGTTTTACTTTGACACTAATTTTTTGTAGATTGTGTTAAAAATTTATGCAAGCTACCTTGTGCAAAATGAAATAGTATAATTTGAGACTCAAATTACTAGTGCTTGATAAAAATATAAAACTATTCTAATTTATTTTCAAGTCTATTAATATTTTTTCACTCATAATAGTTAGTCGAACAACCCTAAAAATATTGTAAATCTAGTGCAATGGTTATTTTTAAAAAAAATCTGCATTAATTTTTAATATTTTGCATTGGTTAAAAGTATACTGCACTATTCATTTGCAGATCACAGCAATTTAATTTAAATTAATTACCCATTTCAAAGAAAAAGCATTTCACAGAAGACTTCCGAAGAAACCCTCATCTCCTTTATGCTACTCATTATTAGAAATACGATCATAATTGGGGGGGGGACTTTGAAAACTCTCATGCACAAAAAATTTGAATTACAATTACAGACTTCATTCTTAAAAGCTTAGAGAAAAATGTTTCTTATTCCACTAAAACTATTTTAACAACATATACAATTTAATATTGCATATCTCTTTCTATAATTACAGTCATTAATAACATCATATTTTCAAATTAAGCAACTGAATAATTAATGTAAATGAATTAAATTATGAAAATTTGCAAATTTTGCTAGAATACAAAATAAAACAATAACACTACTGACCATCATCTTCCTCTTCATCTTCCATTTCATCTTCAGATATTGTAATGCGGGGAAAGCCAAAAAAATCAGGAATAAAAAAACGAGCAACATGCTCTATTCTGCATCTGTCATCACGGAAAATACCTTTAATAATACAAGTTATAAGTTAACGAGAGTTAATATTACTAATAATACAAGTTATAAGTTAACAAGAGTTAATATTACTATCTTAGGGCATTTTAAAAAAATGGAGAGAGAAACAAAAACTCACTTATAAAATCACATATATAGAAAGATATATTGCAAGCTTTATTAAAATAATGCCATAAGTTTACTCACCATAAAAAGACAGCAAAGCAAGACTATACAGTCATGCTAAAAAAATACTAAAAGAAAAAATGCTAAAAGAAAAGGTACGAAAATACAAATGGGAGTTAAAACAAACAATATACATATGAGGTATAAGTTGCATCGCCGAATGCAAATAGGCAACCAAAATTGGCTCAAAACGCAATCCCATCATCACACTGCAATGCCTTAAAAAGGAGTATGCCGGACCTAAACGTCATTTCCCAGTGATAGTTCCATGTAATCTGAGATTTTTGTCGAATCTGAGACCTTTGTCGGACTTATACAAGGGACACTTCCCTTTGTCACACAAATACACTCACTTCCAAACGTTAAGCACGAAGATGTAAAATGCAAAAAAATCAACAAACACTGCTTTGATCGACACAAAATTCGGCAGGAAAGTAGCATATATATTCATGCATAAAACAAAATCAATAATTATATACAGAAATGACAGATAACGACATACTAGTGACTTAAACAGAATTATGTATAAGGTGAAAATAAACAGCATAAAATGAAAAAAAGGACATTAATAGGGTATGTGATCCCCCCTTATCTGTATACAAAGTTTACACCTTGTGACCATGCTTTCAATTAGGTGGTCAACCACCGCAGAATTAAGCAATTGCCATTCTTCTTGTAGAGCAGTTTCCAGCTCAATAAGAGTGGCTGGAGGTGGGAAACATGAAGATACAGCACAGACGAGAGCATCCCAAGATTTTCAATGGGATTAAGGTCAGGCAAATATTCTGGCCAAGCCATATGCGCAATCCCTTCACTCTCCAGGTAGTCATCGACAATGTCAGCTCTATGGGGACGTGCGTTATCGTCCATTAAAACAAAAGTAGGGCCAACTGCTACAGTGTACAATCTTACAATCGGTTCTAGGACTTCATCCGATTCCGGACAGCCATCAAAGAACCCCGTTAACCCTTTGACATGTGCAATATTATTTTATATTTTTTTTAACTAAAAACTCTATGAAATTTATGAATTTTAAACAAAATGCCTGTAAGAATTGCATAATATATATACTTTTTACATTATTTTACAAACTAAATCGTCAGAAAAATTAAAAAATAAACATTTATGTTTTTTCTATAGCAGTGAAGTATAAGTACCTACATAATAAGGACTTTGACTACATGGATTAAAAAACTCAGTACAATAAAGATTAAAAAAAGACTCAGTGGTTTTTTTTTTTTTTTTTTCTTTTTTTTTCTTTTTTTTTTTTTAATTTTAAAGAACAAATATTTTTTGTGACACTGTTCAAAGCATGTTTTGTCTTTTTGGTACGTGCATAGACCCACACTGCATGTTTCGTACATGTTTTTCTTCTATGATGTTACTTCCCTGTGCTACAAAATGTACACTGATTGGATCTAAATTTTCACCAGTACATGTCCAGCGTATTTAGTTTCCTTTCATCTGGCATATGAAATTTGTGGTTTTTTTTTATGTTAATGGGAAGGGGGTGCTTGGTCTTTTTGGCTTTGGTATGGATCATTCGCTTCCCATTCATACTTATTTTATTCGTATTTCGTCTCAAAATATTCAGAAAATTTTTTAATTTAAATAAAACTTTTACGCGATTTCTATTTTTAATTACAGCAAAGTACATTTACATTAAATTTAAACCACAGAAATAATTTATAAAATCACAATACTAGCTTGGGGAGCAAGTGTGTTGAGGTCAGAGAAAAGTCTCTGGAAAAAAAAGACCTTTTTTACTGGGCAGGTGCATGTATTGTTTAGTAATAAAATAACTCTTTGGTTTCAAAACCCAAAAACCTATCCGGGTAAAATAAACATTCCTGTTTGAGAAGCAAGAAAACACCATTGTGAAGAGCAGTGGTTTCAAGGTGCGACCACCGAGCCTCTAGAGCATTGTGACACAATGCCAGTAGTGGGGCAGTGGTCACGCCCTGAAACCACAAAGCAAATGCCATACATATAGAGGGGTTTTTTTTATATATGGAGTTTAATTATTCCTATTTTTATTGTTTATGATAGAAATCATGATGTGTGATGAATAACTTTTGAAATTTAAAGTTGTTTATATTAATAAAAGAAAGTTTTTTTGTTTCTCATTGAAAACGAATTTTAAAAAGGCATCTGATTTGAAGTACTAAGACCTAAAACAAGTATGATTCTGTAGTCATTTCAGTAGTAGGTAAAAGATCAGTAATTAATTGATTTTCACTCAAAGTTTCAGAAGGAAGAGGATAAAAAATTTGAAAATTGGTGGTTTCAAGGCGCGACCACCGCACATCAAAGGGTTAAAGATATGCAGGTCGTTGCGGCATCCTAATGAAATCCCTGCCCACACCATAATGATTCTGCCTCGGATTGCATAATGTTCGGTGATGTTTTGGGACTGATTGCGTGTTCATTGTTCATACCATATCCTTATACGCTTGTCATCTGGCTCGAGCAAATCTTGACTCATCAGTAAACATGACATTGCACCGGTCAGACACATTCCAATTGACATGTTCCCAGCACCACTGTAACCGTGCCCGTCTTGATTGGACGGATAGAGGAACACAAACTTGAGGTACCCGGGCATACAGTCCCTTCATATGTAATCTTCGGCGTACAGTAGCTGCAGATATATTGCCTTGCCAATGGACGCTGTAACCATAGATGACACACGTGTGGAGGTCGCTCTGCGATTCCGCTTGGCTACAATAGCAATATATCGATCTTCCGAGGGGATTGTAACACTTGGGCGACCGGCTACGGGCCTTCGGACGACTGTCTGTGTGGTTTGGAATTGTTTCCATAAACGTGAAATTACAGAATGATGAACGCTGAAGAAAAGAGCAACATCTGTGATCGACTGTCCTGCTTCAATGCGCCCCACAGCATGCCAGCGCTCAGAATCTTCTATTCGTCTTCTGGAAGTCATAGAAACATGTATGTCTTGAAAACAAATTGTACAAAAGTTTTAAACACCTTCTATCAGCACTTACAATCAACTTCTATAACCTTTCATAAAGCTGGCTTCATATAAAACTGCGTTTTTTGCATATTTCTTGACATGAAAGTGCGATTGGCTGTTACCTAACATATTTGCATACTTCCATCTACCTCTGTAGCAAATTGTATCCTCTTCAATTCTGAATGGCTTGTGGAAATTAGCATTTTCCTCTCCATGCTTAACTTTTGGAAGTGAGTGTATAATAACAAAGTTATGCACAGATATATGTTTTTAATTTCCTTAATTTTATTTTGGTTGACTCTCTTTTCTGTACACATATAGGGTTTTAATTCAGGCGAAGCCCAAAATAAAATATGTTCCGTTATTTTAATTTATTGTTCAATTATTTGTTATTAATTTAATTAATTAATTTTTAATTTTATTTTTTATGAATCTGCTTTACATTACTCCATCTCAGAAATGCCATAACTTTGCTAATCCTACAATTGAGCAGAATCTTAAGACTGGGAGACGTTTGTGTTGGTAGAAGGACCAAAACAATCCAAACTACTTTGGTACATGCGTGTAATTGAAAACGTGATGGACATGTTCGAGCGTGCCTCATTCGCACGCCCAAAGTACAAGATCGATCCAAATCCTTTCGAAATTTAATTTAGAATTTTTGATATTATTTGAGTTTTTACTACATTATTAATTATTATGTTTATTTGTGGTTTTGATGTGTACTAGTATATATTATTGATTTATATATGTCGTACTATAAAGTATCATTAATTAATGGTAATAGTGATACGTAAGTAAGTTGGTGTACCCTTATTAAAGAGTACAAGCAGGGAGCGATGTAGGAAAAAAAAAAGAGAGATAGAGGGCACTGCACAGCTCGTATGTTTAGCTAATTAAGAGTTTTCACCAGAGAGAGTTAAGAGCATGTGGTTGAGAGAGGTTGAGAGTGGTATAAAAACCAAATATCATGTAATCTGTATATATTACTTGTACATAGTATTTGATACATAAAGTAGAATTAGTTTAAAGAAGAGTGCCTTTATTCAATGCAATATGATACGATGAACCACCAATTATGGAATATAAGTAATTTCCACACATGTACCACTGGTGAGTCAATTTTCCTGCAGTTTTATATGAAAACATAAATATCTTTGGACTTTAAACCACTCTGCTCAAATTGATCCTAATGTGAGTCAGCAGTTAATGTGTTCAATTTCTTCAAACTATTAAATTAAAAAAAAATCTAGCAAACATAATTTAAAATATCATAGCCTTATGCAATTTTAGCATAGCTTTTGATTCCAACTTTTACAAATGGTGTCCATAAATGAGACAGTTTTATATTGTATTTTCATGAAAACTATGATAGTTAACAATTCAAAAGTTTTCTTATGCCTGATAGAAAAGAATTTAGAGAATTTCAATCCCTGGAATCGAGATTCTTATTAAATAAAAATGATATGAATGAATGAAAATAACTTATCACTGACATATTTTTAGGCAACCAAAGCAGTGCATATGAAAACATATATAAATCATACAGTAAAAGGACTCTACAAGTTGTCATGTCTTTCAAAATAAAAGCTTTTTATAATTTATTATCAATCAAATTGTTTTTTGAATACAATATGAAATTTTATATTTCTTTTATGGATACTTCAAGATATGAATGATCATGTTATTCAATTTTTGTTTGTTTGATTCTATATTATTATATTTCTCTGTATCAAATGAATTATAATATTTGTAATACCAACATTTTAAAATTAATTGATTTTATGTGAATCAATTAAACAGCACAATATTAAAAAATCAACAATGTCATCAACAAAATTGAAAGCATTATGGAACAACAAAACAAGCAAATTAATATTTTAGTTATAATTTTATATATAATTTTAATAATATACTTAATAGCATTATAGTATAAAATTTTTAAAAATGTGGACACTTGCATTTTTTAATTAAAATGCAGTATTCTAATTTTCTCTTAATGAACTGAAAAAAATCGTTTACATGGTAAAAATGGTTACTACTTGTAGTCAAATAATAAATGAAAAAAAAAGAGAGAAGATACTCTATTTTTTTTTCCCTTGCAATAATGTGAAATTAAAAAAATTACCTGGTAGCTTTTTTAAATATTGGCATATCAAATTTATTGCATCTGGAAATATACATTTCTCTTTAAAGTCCAACAAGAAATGAGGAGCTGATGAATTAGCTCCACCATTTTCTTTTTTCTAAAAAGAAAATTTTTATGAATTACATGTCTTAAAATATAAATGGTCAAAATAATGTTGTGTGCTTGAATGGATCAAACACACAAAAATTACATTGATACATGCATACATGTATGCAGTACAAAGTTTAAAATCCAGATATTGGATCTCTGGGCCATCAGCAACTTTTTTTTAATGCATTTTTTTAAGCATGCATATTTCATATTCTTTCATAATAAAACATGTGGAAAGTCCTGATTCTCAATTTCACTTTGGCACTAAATAAAATGCCTTTATACTGAAGAAACAATAATTTATTAGCATAAAATCTGTATGACTAATAATTTGGCACCACAGCACCTTTTTGCCTGGCACTACATATCAAACCAAAATATTGTTTATTTTATACCTACTGACTAATCTATATTCCTGATGCCAACCCTATGGATCATTATTTACTAGTTTTTTGCTTTCATCTCCACATCACTATCAACTTGAGAAATAATTCACCTAATGAAGTCTAAGCAATTTTTTTTTTAAATATTGATAACTTAATACCAAAGAGCATGGTAACCTTTTATCATTTATGCTGACCTTACACTTGATAATGATTACAGACTTCAGTTAACTCTGCTAAGTGTTGAGTGTGTTTACAGCAAGAAATGTGAGAAATTTCTTTCCATATGCAAAAGATACATTTTATAAATGACTTTGTAACTGAACAAGATATTATGCCCATCTATACAGTTAAAGAAAAAGTATTAGCATGAAAAACAAAGCATTTTAAACAACTTGCATAATACAGCAACCAAATAAATACTGAGCCTTTCCCCCTCTTTTTTTGTAAGTTTTCATACCTTAAGGTCATAAATGTTTCATTATTTCATAAACCACTATTTCATATCTTTAATTTTATAATTTCTACATGTCATCTCACTAGCTTTAAACTGATAATCTAATATCTAGAAAAATTCCAAATCCGAAATCAAAAGTTTCAACAAGCCCTGATCTCAGGCTTTGTGCAGCATATTTATAATAGGAATTTATGAAATGCTGTGGTAGTCAATAATAAATTTTGATGTACCTTTTTATGACAATCTTTTTAATCAACTGCATCAGGTCACAGGAAATAAGGCACTGTAAACTATACTTAGCCTGATAACAACTATCACAGCATCTAATAAATCTGAACCTTTGAGGCACTTGCATTAGCAAGTAACTTTATCTCACATGATCAGCTCAAATGAGAAAAGGCCATTTGTACACTTTTTATGACTTATTATAAGATGATGTATGATAACTGAGTTTTTCATGAGAAAATTTCAAAGAAGCAACAATATTGCACCTGCCTCTGTAAAAGAAGTTAATTTCTGCACATTACTGTTACACTGAATAGTCAGTTGTCTACTACATAGGTCATTCAAATTTACATAAAAATACACTTTAACAGATTCTAATGGCTCTTTATAAGGCCATTCCCCTTTCTACTAATGATCAATTCATAATTTAACTTGAAATATTACAAGTTAATGAATGTTAAATGTTACACTAGTAAGAAACTCATATTTCAGTTTAATTTAAATTTTTCAATTAGATAAACACTATTAAATTTAGGATGATAATGTCAAGAGTCCACTTACAAAGAAATATTAAATTAATTAAATTAGCCATCAGATGCCCTTACTTTCTGCATATTTTTTTACCATAGTAAAGCAAGTTCAATTGAGTTTATCTTGCAGATATTTCCTCTCTGACTCTCTAAAAATTTACATGTCAAAAATTGAATGCTAAAACTTTCATTAAATAATTAAAGATTCTTGACAATTAATTAGAAGTCCTTCCTTGAAAAAATTTTGCAAGGATTAATTCCATGACTGAATGCATAAAAGCCATAAAAAGTCTAATAACACAACCATGAATCATGGTATTCTGAATGCAAACAGACCAGCCTTGTTGCCAGATATATAAAAGACAAATTCAACTGATAATCAAGTATTTCAATTTTAAAAGATTTTTGTTTCTGTATTTCTATTTTGAAAATAGAACGATATAAACCAAAAATTGTCAAAATACTTTGTAAAGGTACATTACTACTTTAAAAATTAAAAGTAGACAGAAATATGCAGACTGTTGAAATTAATGCAATATTAGATTTTAACATTTTCATCAGTCTTTATTTTTGATGCAGACAAAGTGAAGGCAGAAGAGTTAGAAAGGAAGTTCTGCATTAGGAATATCTTTTATAACTATGCTACTAGTTCAACTGTTCACAAAACATACAGCCAAATATTATTAAGAGTTTTCAGGGAAACCTGTCTCAGAAAGCAACATTAGAGTCATACTGTTGGGAGGGGGGAACTCACTTATGATGAAAACTAGTTTTATTTCAAGTGTAATCATAGGCAGAATTAGAGGTGTTTACAGGCTGGAATTATAGGAATCAATTTGGTTGCACACATAGCGGCCTTAAATTTGAAACTTATATTCATAACAATTTAATACTTGAAGAAACCAATTTTAATAGACAACAAATAATTCTCTGTAGAAATTAATTATTATAATAATCTTTAATGTCCTCATTCTATTTTTTTTTTAAATTTTATTTTCTTAAATACTCTTCTCCTTTAATGTGAAATTTCCTTTCAAGATTGAAAAAGATTCTACTGATGTGAAATCTGAAAACTACAAAGAATAAATGTTAAGAATAGCTTAACGTAAAATAATCTAAAGCTTAAATAAAAATCAGTATTTTTACAGTTAAAATTTCCTTTGTAATAAATTACTTGATGATAAATGCATTGTGCAAAAAGATATCATCATGCAATAAAAATGAAATAAGCTTTTAAAAGGGTGATTTCTTTTGAGAAGTCAGCTTCTTTTTAGTTAGCATAGTTCATTATCTGCACCTTCAAATGAAATTGAAAATCAGCCTCTTAAACATCAACATGCTCTTTACTGACTATTCAAACCAATGTTTCAGTTGCCAATATAATTTTTTCCTATCCATGTAGACGATTATTATGCTGTCTTGAGCAATATACTCAACTTTCATGACTATTCATGTGGGAAAAAATCAGAATAACTATCTTTCAGTCCAATCCAAACTTTATTATTTCTTATAACTTAATCTTTGAATCTATAATAACAAATGTTTGTATGTGTAATAAAATCTCCCTTTAAACTTTTCATAAGCAGACAATACTTAAAAGAGAGAGACAGACAGAGAAAGACTGCAGTTATTCATCACTGGAACTAACTATTACCTCACAGCTTCACCAAGATTAGCACAAAAAAATTCAGTCCTAAGAATTTGTAGATGCATTATATGAATGCAGCATGTGGCATCTTAAAAGAACTAACACATCAAGATAAAAATAGTTTCAACTTAAATGCCTTTAAATATTAAGAAGAAAAAATTATGGCGAACTTTAAAAAATTCAAACTGGAAAATAAATCTCGTAGTATACCATTATGTTCACGAATACCACATGCCACCGAATAAGATGCGCACCCGATTTTTTTTTTAATGCTCCAAAAAAGGAAAAAATGCCTGCGAATATGACGTACATATTTTCATCAAGCCCATGGAAAGCTTAATTTACAGGAAAAATCTTTTTTCTGGATTACGAGCATAAAGAAACAAGAAAAAACAAAGAAATATGATACTGAGCTACCACTAGCAGCTTTTGCAGCTCCTACCTAAGGTCGTAGCAATACATGCCCAGTAACATTTTAATGGGAAGGAATAAATTGGTTAGCCGAATTTAATTCTATGGCAGAAAGAAAAAACTGCTAATTTAAGTATGCTATATAAAATTTCATTTGTTAAACAATAGCTTCAGTCGGGAACAATCACTGCACTAAATATAAATTTAAAAGTCCCGAGTGATCCTCTAAAATCTACAGGTAGGTACTTCTCACTTTTTTATTCTGGAAACTTTAGTCTGGAACTTATCATCCCACACTGCTTAATAATCATTTCCATCCATGCTATTTGATATTCTGAACTTTTTGAAGCTCTTAACAAGTTCTTGTGCAATTTCTAAGAAGCCAAGTTCAGCAAAAAAAATTCAGAGAATAACAATTTGGTGAAAAAAGGTGTATATCCTCTACAAATCCCTGGCCAGGATTTATTATTTGAGAGGGTACAGTAGCATAATATATTGTTATATTTTTTGGGCATACTGTAGCTTTGAAAAGAAATAATTTATGCCGACCAACTTGCATTTACCTGCCCTATATTGTTTTGTTTCGCATAAGCCGTAAACCTTGATTTTTCTGATTAAAATTATCAAAAAAAACCTATGTGTGATATTCGTATACTGTAATTAAAAATTGCAATTGTTTCATATTTAAAAAAATTATTAGTAGCATTATATCAAGATAATTTAGAAAAAGGAAATTTAAAAAAAAATATGCACCTCAGCATAGACCATTTCCATTTCATTAAGAAGACTTTTGGAACGGAAGCTTTTGCTGTCATTCTGTTTAAAGTTGATGCCTTGGTGATCTAGAGATTTTAAATAATAGTTATCTATTTGCTCTCTCCAAATAGCATTAAACTGCCTTTGTTTCTCCTTCCATTCTTCATCTTTACCTTTCAACCTAAAAATAGCAGTTTCATTAAAAAGCACAGAATATTTTGCTGATATCATAGGTATGAAAATCTCAGAAACTTGATATTTAGACATTCTCTCAAAACTTTTTGACTACTTTAATAACACAGCAGAAGACCAGAAATCTGCAATGTTTGGGACCAGAGGTTGTGCAGATTTTAGGACAGAAAAAATAAATTATAATATTTAGATTAAAAATGCAAAATACATTATGGCATTAAGGACATTTACAATAAAGACATATGAAACAAAAGAACATTAATATGCATGAAGCATTTTTTAACACGTTTCAAACATTTTTCTGATAGAGGTTTCAAGAAAGCAATTTTTTAGCAATTGAAGTACCACAAAAAACAAATTAAGATTAAATAAATTATACAAACAAATGCAAACAGATTGTCTTGAAAAATATACTATGACATGATGAAAAGAAACAGCTATGCATTCCAGAATAATTTAATACATTGATAAGTTTTCAATATACAAGAGAAATTAAACTATCATAACAAAATCATACATCGAGTTTGTTGCATTAAATTAAACAGGAACAATCAGTTAACTTTCACCTCTTCTTGCTTATCCAAAAATACAAGGACTTTCAAAAGAACTAATATTAATCCCATTTCAACTGGAAGCCTGCCACATTAATTGATAAGTAATGCTCCCTCTGTCCTAAATTAGTTGCTACATTTAGGTAAAAAAATTTGTCCCAAAATAGTTGTTACACTTCAAGTAGGTGGAGTCATAAATAACTTTCGATGCAGTCTAGATTGACAGCTGTAAAATTATACAATGTATTACAATGAATATAACTCTGTGTACTAGGTTTTCATTCGCAGTTTTTATTTTACACAAATGTAACACTTAATTTGAGACATTGTTTTCGAAGCAAATTTACAGGATTCAAACGCTCTTAAATCACACCTCATTTTGTAAGGACGCTACCACCAGTATATTAGAAAGATCATGCTTTATATGACTAAGCCTTCAGGGCTGTCTGCCTAAGGGAAGGGATGCCTTTGTGGAGGATTTTCTATGGGAACTTAATTGTATACACAAAACAGATCACTGAATTCACAATTCATTAGCTAGAAGATAGTTTTATGCGATTACTGATGGAAGAGTCCTTACAAAATGGGGCGTGGCTTAAGAGTGTGCGTACACTGGATTTTTTAAACTAATTTGGTACTGATTTAAGAAGCAAATGCTTGGTAAGTAAATGTTGTTGATTAATAATGTAGCACCCTGAAATTTCTGAAAAATGTTTACATGAAATCATAAAATTTTCAGTATCAATAATCAGTACAAAGGTATTCAAATGTAGCAACTAATTTGGGACAGAGGGAGTAATATTTACCATTGTTACCATTGCAGTAATATTGCTTGCTCTCAAACTGCCGATGCATGTTACTTTCATAAAGCATGCAAATAACTCCCAAGGGATAAAATATTATACTGCAACTGAGAAATTTTCTTTGCTAATGAACTTTTCCAGCTATTATGCAGATACCCATCTTTTTAATATATTTAAAATAATAACAGTTATTAAGTTATATATTTTACTTTTCCTTCAAAGTCCCCCCCCCAACATAGTTCCAAAGCATGTTCAAGTTTATTTCATATTGGTACCACTGTTGACAAGTACAGTTGTCACCCAAAACTATATTTTTCTGGCATTTTTAGTTCTGTAATTCAGAAGTAGTTATATTTCATAGTTTAATAAAGCAAATATTTTAAAAGATTTACTTTTTTCTAGCAGTATACTATATGAAAGACAAAAGTAAATACATAATTCAAATACAGTTCTTTACCTTTTCAGAATGATAGGCACTGCTACCACAGGGTTCCGTTTTAGGCCTTCAACAAGCTCATCTGTTTTATCCCCGTACAGCCTAAAAATAATTTTAAAGCAAAGTAAAGAATAAAGCAACTCTTATCTTTACATTATACCAAACCAGTTCATAACTGACATTATTTTAATGCATGGCAATGCATTTTAATAATATATATCACTGGAAAGCAGAATGTAAATAAACTGTTTGACTTGAACTGAATTTAAAACCATAATGTAATAACTAAATTTTAAAAAACATTATGATTCTAAACTTGCATTCTTTTCATATTTTGCATGCTCTCTACATTTTAATTATTGGATTAAATTTATATTGCATTATTTGATTTATATTACATCATAGTACAATCAATGTATAGAAATCTAATTAATTTTTAATTTTTTTAGTTTAAAAGTCTAATTAATTTTTTTCAATTCTTTGTTCAATTAGCTCAATTTTTGAAAAATATAAAACAAATTATAAACATTAAAAACTCTATAAGTACAATTTAAATTTAAATTAAAAATTTGAATGCTGGAAAGTGTTAAAATTAATTAATTAAATTCTTTTAACCCCTTAACTGCCGCGGAAAACGTACAAGGTTCATTTATTTCCCAGTGCCACGGTTTTTCACACAGGTGCGCGTAGTTATGTGATGTATTAGGGGAAAAATAAGTGCAAGTTTTACTTTCTAAAAACTGTTTATTTTCACAAAATAAGGAATAAAAGGAAAAAATTAATGTACAAAATTTAATGTTTAGAATAAAAGTATAATAAAAAGATGTAAGTATAAGAAAAATGATGTTTTTATAATAAAAAAGATCCCTAAAATGGAGTTTCGATCAATTTATTTTTAGACCAGTAAAGTGTAATAACAGGTTTCAGTGTTATACCTTATCAAATCAGTATGCCTAAAAAAACATATTTCTTCTGAACTGGTTGAATGCCACAATTTTGTTCTTGATTTTTCCTTAGCAAGGTGTTGGTTCATATACTTGTCTACAAAACGGTTAGTTTCAGTAACAGTATGAAGCACGAGCAGTTCATAAAAAAATAATTCAAAAAAGATAAATGGGTTTGAAACATCCATTATATCTTTCTTTATTCCTGGAACCTACTACATAAAGTAAACGAAAACAGAGGACACAGAATAAAAAAAAAAAAAAAATTTTTTTTTACTTAAACAACACCAGCAAATACCGCGCAGTCATTACTTTCGCCACTTCCCCACATCTCTCTCTCCAATTACTCCCCACACTTTTCTGAAATAGTATCGTCCTTCGCATACTTTGTCAAGGTCATTGTGGTGCTGCATTCAAAGCTTGGTGAATAATTTTACGGGTAGCAGCGCAAAGCAAATGATAGCATTTTGGAAGGACATATATAACGCCTGTGGCAGTTAACACATCGGCTGAGCAAAGCGTATATATACGCTCATGGCAGTTAAGGGGTTAAATCTGCTCACATTAAAAAAATTGAAAGTGTTTCAAAAATTAGTGCATCATGTAAGTTTTTGAAAAATATTAATTGCTACTACTAACAGGTTTTAAGTCAGAACATTTTTTGTTTTGTTTTGTTTTGTTTAGATTCAAATAAAATACTTTGTTCAATGTGGGGAGGAGGTAGTCAAAAATTCCTACAGATTATAATCAATGATTATTTTTATTTCTATTGACATATATGTATAAGCTTAGCATATATCCATATAATCTGAATTGAAAAATAAATAAATAAAGCAAATAATACTTAAAATAATAGCAAAATTTATGTTTTCTAAAAATTATTGATAAATTTCTTAAATAAAATATCAAACACAAGATGTCAAATGCTAGTAATAAGTATGTTCGGTGGTAGAATATACAGAACATATGTGTTTACTTCATTCATATCCAATTATCCTAATTATCTTTGCTTTTTACATTCCAGGCAGTTTATGTATGAATCAAATCCACTACTGGAAAGGAAAATGTTCAAGTGCAAAACAATTGGTTTGTTCATTCATGTTTTAAAAGCTCATATGGCCTGACTGAATTGCAAGAATTCATGAATTTCAGATTAAATAAAAATTTAAAACTCATTCTGAACATGACTTTTCTTTTTAACAGTACATACTTTTTTTAAAAGGTACTAGATTAAAAAGTAGTTACTTTATTTAAGCTATGTAAAGTTTAAATACGTTAACTCATTTAAACTTTACAAATTATTTCAGAAAAGAAATTTGAAAAAAAAAAAAATTAACTTGGAAACAGAATTTACCATTTTGAAATTTTATTCTTGCAACTGATAGTTCCTGAACAGCATAGATTTTGCCGCATATGTCCAACATTTCGTAATCTATGAAGTTTTTTGAATATTTTTTCAATAGCAATATTAAAACTTTTATGTTGGTAAAATTTAAAATTCATCAATTTACAAAGAAGAAAATTTTTACTAAGGAAATATTAGATCTATATTATTAGTACAATATTATTTTCCTGGAATGCATTCTTTTCCAGGAAATTCTATTTAATGAAAGAAAATCCTTTTATTACATAACCTTTGTTCCTTTATCCTGAATAAAACAGAATTCCATGGGAAGTTAAACACAGTATCCAGACGTTTTTAAAAAAATTAGCATGACAGAACTCATTTAATGGTATCATTCTCCAAATCTATCCCACGTAAAAATTACACTCATTTTCCTTTAACAGTCATTTTTATGAAACTGAATTTGATTTTAAATTGCTTTAAATATGATTTAATGAATGACAAATAAGAATTCAATAGATCTTACTCGTAAGAATTTACACAAAACTTATATAACTTACAAAGAGGACAATAAAATAAAATAAAAAACATATAACAATTTTACCGATGGAGTGCCTTTTGGTGAAGAACAGTTGATGTTCCTCCGAGAGTATCATCCAAAGAAAACATACTTTTTTCTTCAGCACTCATTTTGTTTATTTTCTTTTGGACATTTTCCAGGACTTGAATTGTACAAGCATTTGTTCTGATTGCCATATCAAGCTAAAAATAATAATTTAAATTACATCAAAGTTAAAAAAAAATAAATCTATAATTCATTTATTATTAATACTTGATAATGATTGCTTTTATTTTTATACAAAACTTTGATAATGACAGATGCACAGCAATTACACTTGTTTTAATTCCCAAAATATAGGAAATATATTCAGAAAAATTTATTTGAACTTAACATAATTGCATACTATAAAAGAAAAAAAAATGTTGAGCAATTTTTCTTTTCTTTGCATGTTTTTCATGAAGATATTTATTTATGCACTTTTTATAATTTCATATAAGTAAAATTAGTGAGAACAATTTTTTTAAAAATGCATATTCCCTAGTCAAGAAGCATTTTATAGAAACTGGATCAAAGCAGCAGCACAATTAAATACTATAAACATTTTGGTACTTTTCCATAGAATTGTAATACGGTGAAAAAAGTCAAAAATATAAGATACTAACAAGTTATTCAATCATAACAAGGTTAATTCTACTGGATGATGAAATCAGTATCAGTTAGTGCATTTTATAAAGCAAATTAGATTTCTGTTAAAATACTCAAAAGAAGATATTACTTATTTATATTCTGCATCAATAATACGATTTATTGATGAAATGTATAACCAGTTTCTTTCAAAAAATCTCATAATTTAGGAGAACCAATTGTTTATTTCTCAAACACATAAGTTCATTTTTTAAATAAAATTAATGTGCAACAGCAGACGAAGAAAAAACAAAACTTTGACAGATGCACAGCAATACTACTTATTTTAATTAATAAAATATATGAAATTTACTTAGAAAAATTCATTTTGAGCTTAACACAATTGTATAGTATAAAAGAAAAAAAAAAGTTGAGTAATTTTCTTTTCCTTTGCATGTTTTTCATGAAGACATTTATTTATGCAAAAAGACTGCTCAGTTTTATTATTTAAAAAACTGATAAAATACAACAAAACTGAAACCTTTTTGTATGTTATTAAAAAAGATTTACGCAAAATATTACAGTTTTATATATTTTACTTCAACTAATTTTCTTATATTAATAATCAAATTCTGATAAGTTCTAAAAGCTAAAAAAATTAACTTATATGCATACAACGTAAACTAATAAACTAATTTAAGTGCCAAAGATAATCTCCCCCAGTTAAGGAATCACAGGCTATGTTAAAAACACTCTAAAACAAGGTGTGGAGGAGTCAATGCTGCTGCACTATAAATAATTATTTTACTTCTGGGAACTTTTTCCAAGCAAATGCTCTGCTCCACTTTCAGTGATAATTTTTTATTCTGTACATTAAATGAAGCTTTAGACAGAAAGGTAATAAAAGTAATTATAATACACAATTTTGGACAAAAGCTATTTCATTAACATAAAAGGAAGCTTTTGTCATCAATATAAAAGAACCACTCTTTTGTACAATGGGAAAAAATTTTTCATATTCCTCTTTTGTACCAAAACCTAAAAAGAAATACCTCAAAACGTTCATCCTCACAGCGATATATCATTTCTTCATACTGAGTTTTGCAAGATGTTACAAAAGTTGAATCTTCAGACCAAGAGGGAAAGGAAACCCACGTATCATTCAAAACCTATGACAAGTATTAAATATTCATAAAGCTAAATCAACAATTAGTACCAACAGTTAATTTATATCTATGTGCCCAATAACATATAAAAATTCATAAATAAAAACAAGCTAAATTTCAAAACATCTAACACTAAAAATTTTAAAACAGCACTAATTAAGAAATGAAAATATAGTTGCTAGATAATTATTTTATGCTAGAAGACATACAGTCAACTCTCAACTCTCGATTTACCAGAGTGATAACTAGGAACAACACCAATGGCAACTCAAAAATTATTTAATCTGAAAGCAGGTAAAAAAAAAAAAAAAAAGAAGAAGAACCTGTGTTATAATTAATAGAAAAAGACTATTATAATCAAGCCAGCTTATAATGAATCCCTGGATATAATGACCAAATATTTAGGTCCCATTCAGTTTTACATTTAATACTATTTTATATTGTTATAATGAACCTCTTAACATATGAAAACTGAATTTAATGAATTGTATGTATATCTGCAATTTAAACTTTTCTTCATATTTTTTCCAGAATTTCTGTAAGTTTTAAAGTAAAATTACTAACTGTTAAATTCATCACTTAGGTTCCACATTCCACAATCGTCTATAAAGAAAAGCACCTTTATGTTATTCTTTTACAAGGTTACCAAAAAAGTTCTTGCCATTTCCGATATGACATTGGAAGAGTGAACCCCAACATAAAAATAGTCACCAAACCTGGTGATGAAGTGGTTAGAATGGGAGTCTGGACATTGATGAAGAGTATAAAAGTGCATTGCATTAGTACTTCAAACATAACTCACACATAACGGATTGAAATGGATGCATCAAAGGCGCTCTTTGAGCTGTTTGCTGTATGATTTTAAAGTGGGCCTGTTGCAGCAGAATCAAGTTTGCCAGGCCTTTGGGGATGATGCCATTAACGAACGAACCACTAGGCAATGGTTCCAAAAGTTTAGGTCAGGGGATACGTCTCTTAGTGATGCATCACACAGCAGTCGGTCACAAGCGCTGAACAATGAGGCTCTGAGAGCAGCTATACAGAGTGACAGTAGCCAAACATGTGGTGAGCTAGCTGCACACTTCAGGTATCTGATGCAATGATCAGACTCCATTAGCACCACATAGGAAAGGCATACAAGCTGAGCAAGTGAGTACGCCACTCACTGTCTGATGCACATAAGCAATGTGTCCTCGCTGTCTGTCTGTCATTGCTTACTTGGCACTGCAATGCATCCATATTTGATGGAGTACTTACCATCAATGAAAAGTGGGTCCAGTACGACACATCCAGGCTTTCCACATATTGGTTGTCACCATGGGGACCCCGTGCCTCACATTGCAAGACCTTTTCTCCATCCATGCAAGATCATGCTTTATATCTGGTGGACTAGTCACCAACTGGTGCACTATGAGCTCCTGCCAGTGGGCCAAACCATCATGGCAGGCCTGTACTCGCAGCAGTTGGAACATGTGCAATCAGGCACTGATGCATAAAGAGCCAGCATTGGTCAATCGTAAGGCGGTACATGTGGCTCGGGAGGCCAGGGACACCATCCAGTGACTGGGCTGGGAGACACTACCTAATTCACCATACTCCCCAGACCTCGTGCTAACAGACTACCAACTTTTCCATTCCCTGGATAACCGTCTTCATGGAAAATCCTTCAACAACCAGCCAGATCTCAAAAAGGCTCTTATGGACTTCTTTGCATTCAAGACTTCTCAGTTTTACCATGATGGCATCGCACAGCTAGCTACTCATTGCCAAAAGGCACTGGATGATGAAGGTGATTACTTTAAGGATTAGCGGTGATTATTATTTGTTTTATGACTTTTTGTTTCTGATTGTCCAAAATGGCAAGAACGTTTTTGGTTACCTTTTATCTCCATCTCCACTTTTCTCATTGTTCTAAAACAGGGATGGGCAAACTACGGCCCACAAATAAAATTTTAATTTGCCGGTCCGAGGTAAATTGAAAGAAATATATATTTATATATTATATATATCCATGTTCTTTTCTACTTTGTGTAAATATTATTTTTTTTTTTCAAAGGACTGACGGTCTTTTTACTTTCTCTATTTTTGTTCAACAAAACATAAATCGACAGAAATAGCAAGCACAGACAGCTTTCAATCAGTAAAGTGTTAAAAGCAGAAGTTCTTGTTAGTTATAGCTGTAGATTGATTCCAACAAGCGTTATTTCTTTCTCAAGGAGCAGACATATGGGATTCCAATATAGGTGAATTAGACCTCCCATATGGCAGACTGTGCATTTTAAAATCCATCCAGCGGCTTTTTCTTTTGGCGTGAGTTCTAATATTATTAATTGTGTATGGAAAGATTGCAGACATGTAGCATTATTGTGAATAGTGGTAAAAATATTAAAAGTAAAGAGTAGCTAGTGCTTGTTTGGGTTATTCATAAAATTTTTCAATCCCAAAATGGGTACTAAAAATGTAAAGTTGATTCAGAGTGCCATGCTTTTAATGATAAATGGACCTGGAAATATATTTTACAGTTGTGAAAGATAAACCAGTGTGTCTCATCTGGAATGAAGCTGTAGCAGTCTTCAAAGAATATAACATTTCCCGTCCTTTCACATCTATTCATAAGAATTCCAATTATGGAGCAACATCAAATATGAAAGAAAACAAAATGCAGAAAGTTTTAGCAAAAAATTACCAGGCCGAAAATTTTTTCAAGAAGGTAAACAGTATCCAAGAAGCATTACACATGCAAGTTACATTGTAGCATACAATATTGCTACACCCTAATAAAGCTCTCAGTGATGGAGAGTTCATTAAACAATGCATGCTCAAAGTTTGTGATGTTTTATACACATAAGAAAAATAATTTTGAAACTGTAAGCTTATCTTGAAAAATGGTGACTTCTAGAATCGAAGACATTGGTAAAAATTTGACATCACAATTAAAAGATTGGACAGTTTAAATTTTGCTCCAAAGCTATGGATGAAAGCACTGATATAAATGATACTGCTCAATTAGTATTATTTAAAAGAGGTGTTGATGAGAACTTTGAAAGTACTGAGGAAGTGGCGTGCCATACGTTCCTTAAAAGGAACTAGAACGGGATGTGATAATTTTCGTGAATTTCAGGGAGGGCTTTTAACTTTGAATATATATAACAAATATATGCAATATTATGACTGATGGAGCACCAAATATGTAATCTGGATTAGGAAAACAATCTGGATTTCTTGGAAGCTTTAATCAAAACTATCTCAGGAACAATGTTGTTTTTCTACATTGTGTTTTACATTAAGATGTTCTGTGTAAATCTGCATTGAATATGAAACCCGTGAAGCTTGTAAATACTATTCGATCTTGTGGGCTTACTCACAGGCAATTTCTTCAGTCCATGCAATCTGAATACTTTGATGTACTTACTGTATTACACGAAATAAGGTGGCTTAGTGCAGGATGTGTTTTTGAGCCAGTTTGGCAGCTGAAAGACAACATTGTGTCGTTCTTCCATGAGAGACGGTGTTCTGCAGAGTGCAAAATGTCAGAAGACACAGAAATGACTTTTGGACTTTGCATTTTACACAGATCTTCTTTGTCATATGAGCAACTTGAATGTCAAGATGCAAGGGAAAATTTAATTTATCGACAATATCTGGGCCCATATCAAAGGTTTTACACTAAAATTTAATCTGTTTGCTGGGCAGCTAGTTAAGAACGACTTGTCTCATTTCCCAAGGTTAAGTTCAATAACCTCAGTAAATGAAGGGAAGCTTAAGAATCATTAAGATGGCTTGAAAAAAAAACTGCATTTTGAGTTTGAGCGTTGATTTCAAGATTTCAGTGCCATTCAAACAGAACTGGATACAGAACTGGATACCATGCCTTTCAACGTAAATTGTAAAGCAGTGAGGTCAGATTTTCAGCTTGAATTAATTAAGTTGCAATCTAATTATCATCTCAAGCAGTTGTTTCTAATTGCCAAAGTAAGAGTTTTACAAATCATTATCGAAGTAAGTTTCCCAAATTTAATATCTTACGCTCAGAAAATCAGTACTAAAGTGTTTTCAACTATGAACCTTAGAAAGAATTATTCAGAAGTAGACTGACAGATGAGCATTTAGCTTCGTTCCTTGGAATCAGTACATCTCACTTTAAAACCTCAATATAAGGAACTTTTAAAAAAAATGAAATCGCAATTTCACTCATCTCATTAACATATTTAAATTGTAATACTTGTATAGTGTTTTTAAAATTTTAGAAAAATTTATTTTGGCCCGCCAAACATTTTTTTTTTCGATTTTGGGCCCGCAACCTAAAAAGTTTGCCCATCCCTGTTCTAAACAAAAGCTATGTGACACCAACCCTAGAAGAACAAGGACACAATAAGCATATTTTAGGACATAATGTCTTGTCTTACAATATGCTTACTGAACTGAAAATAAGCATATCTTAGAATTCCACACAGCATCTTTTGATATGCTTATTGATTCATCATTTAAGTTCATTTAGTTAAATTCATCATTTAGGTTCCACATTCCTCTGTAAAGAAAAATACCTTTATGATATTCTTCTTTTATCTTGATCTCCACTTTTCTCATTGTTCTTAACAAAGGCTGCGTGAGACACGTGTGGCACCAACCCTAGAAGAACAAGGATACAATAGGCATATCTTAGGACATAATGTCTTATGATATGCTTATTGAACTAAAAACCTTATTCATGAACTGAAAAACACGAATGGATTTTATTCAAGTTCTTTGACCAAGATGCCTTGGGGGAATGACTCTACAGTTATTTTCCCAAGATATGTAAGATTACAGGAAAAAGATTTAATAATCTTTATAAAGAATACCTTCTGTTTTGAAAAAGATGTAAAGTTTCAAAAAACTCCTTTTTTGGAGATAAAAATTTGAAGAGCATTTATACTCAAAGAGAACAAATGAATAAGGTTATGCGATGATGGAAATTTTGAAAGTTTCAGGGAAAGAAATAATAATGAATCTCATGAGCTTGCAGTTTCTTCTTTTAAGAGTATGAAATGTTTAGAACCTTATCCATTTGTTCCATCTGAGATAAATGCAAGTTCTTACCTCTGAAAAAGGAGTTTCTGAAAACTTTAGGTCTTTTGCCAAACGTACAGTATTCTTTATAATGCTTATTAAATCTTTGTGTTATAACCATACATATCTTGGGGAAATGACTGTGTTCTACATGGATATTGGATACGACATGCAGATGACAAAATTATCTTTCTTTTCAATCTTTTCCGAAAGTATACTCCATGAGAGCAAAACCTTCACTTATACTTTTGACCAAATTCTCTGCACTCTATTCCTATTTGAAAAATTTATTCGCTTAGTACGCTGTAAACATAAAGTTTCTGCACAGAAGAAAAAGTGAACATTATTAGAAAAATACAAAATGTATACAGTCAAATTAGTATCTGCCAGAAATATGGTTTATAAAAATCTATAGTTGCCCCATATGAAAAAAAATTGAAGCTCTATTATTTCTGCTTGTGTAAAAAACTTGGATATAAGGAAAAGTTAAGAAAGATGGAGCACAGGGATGATGAAGAAGCACTGCTGAAATGGTTTACCATTCAAAAAATTGTAGTCTTTCAGTTTCGACAAATTCATTAAACAAAGGCCAATAAATCTGCCAGATACTTTGGAGAGACTGGAAAAAAATGAATAACAAATTTACTGTTGCAATTGTAAACTTATCATATAGAGAAACCGAAAGTCAATGAAAATGAAATTTAGCAATAGCACATATTAATAATTGTAATTAATCCTTAATATATTTTTTAATTAAATCTATTATTTACTTCTTTTGGTAGACGTAACAATGTTAAGCATATTTCATCATTCAGTTTTTATATGTTTTCATGAGATAATACATTTTTCTCATTGGACTGAACATGCGAACCAAACTTCTGGTCCTTTGAAGTGTGGCTCGAATGTAAGAACCACACACTGTAAATAATGGAAGAATCAATATCATTAGTGATGAAGAAACTACATTTATAAATGGCATTAAAAGACAATATTTAGAAGAAATCTTTATACCATGTTGTAATTTTTTAAACCATTCAGCAATAAACAAATCCCACCATCCACTTTAAAACAAGATCCTGTTAATTCACAAACTGATTAATCTGTCGTCAGTAAATCAGGAGTTGACTATATGCAGAATACTGTTTTATCTATTTGCAAATTATGACATACTCTAATTTTCATTGACTTATTAACATCCTATATACAAGGTTAATTATGAAGTAACAGTCTCCTCAAAATATAGATTTTAATATCAGTTAAGGTAGATACCTAATGTTGCATAAATATAAAAAAAGATACTGTAACAAAATTTACCTCCTTGCATAATGGAGTTCTGCCAGAACATTTAGGTTGTTTATGATCTTTTGGAAGAGCCCTATAACTAGCACCATTTCTGCCACCTGTTGCATAATCTTAAAGCAATCAAACACTATTACTAAATGAAGTACATATTATTCAAATTCAATAATGGCAATTCTTAATTAAATTACTCACAATGCACATATCTGATATACATAAGTTTTATAAGATATAAGAAAAAGGATTTATTGAAGAGTATTAATAATTATGAGAAAAACAACGATCATTTCATCATTATTTGAATGTATATTATTCTGGTAGATAACTACTAATAATAATTGAATATTTCAATCTAACTGCCCTGTACAATGCAAAATATGCTAATAATTATCAATTAATATATTATCCTGATTTTAAGAGTTTGCAAGGCTAGGAATTTATTAACATTTGGAGAAAAATATAATGATTTCGATAAAATTTGAATTTAATAAATCTTCAGAATTACATATCATCATTTTGGAATGAAGCAATCATTCCAAATTTATATTACTAACTGTTAAATGTATCATTTATTAATTAATTATTTGAATTATTTAACTCCAAATTTATATTAATTAATTTATAATAATAAAACAAGTATATTCCAATAGCTCTTTTGCTATAATAACAAAACAAATAAACAACAACAACAAACAAACAAACAAACAAAAACCCTCTTTATTAATTCTAGCTTTCAAGAAGTTAATTTCTGGACAGTACCCAAAGAATAAGTTAAAATAATAAGTTATTTTTAAATTCTATCTTTGTTATACATATGAAATTCACAAATAAAACACCCCAAACAGATCTTTTGATGTTAGAAACAACTTTAGTAGAATTCTTCTGAAACTTCTGAAATGTAATATTACATTACATGACTATAGATTTATCAACCATAGAATTACAACAATTGTACAAAATATTATATATTTAATTTAACTTCCATGCAATTTTGCTATCGCATTTTCCTGGAGTTTCACCACTCAGTATGTCGAGACATTTAATTCATCTTTCTAATTTTAACTGCACTGCTTTAAAAAGAATAAATGCATTTTTTAATAATTAAATCTTTATTACATCTTCACTAATACAGCTAACTGGTTTAATTTAAAATACATCTGAATTATATTGTAACTTTAAAAAAAGTTTTTGAGCCACATACTTTTCTACAGAATTGTTTGGGAAAAATAACAGAATCCAATAGCAAATATTTATAACACTGTATTTATATTAATTTATAATGGTTTTAATATGGTAATGCATACAAAATCTGTTCTTTTTCTGAAAATATTCTGCACTTTCACTCAAAATACCCTTCACTCTAATAATTATACCTGGTAACCTTGATCACAATGCTCTCAATAACACAGTTCTGTCATCTAGATATTTCTATACCACTAAATCACTATGGCACTATTTCAGAAAGGCATATGCATCATGTTTCACATGATACCCATGACTATGAATATTTATTTTAATAATACCTGATTACAATGGCTGATATTTCAATTCTCAGAGATTTTGCCTGTCCTGGAGAAATACCTTGATTTCAGTAACAAAAATTCATGACAAATTTAATAGCTAAAATAATACCTGTACTTTTCAATAGTCTTTAACCTTTATTTTATTTTTGTGATAATATATGTAATTAAAATAATTTATAACATACAGAACTGATTATCCTTTTCAATATTTACACCTTTAATGTAATTAACAGAAAATGTTTCCAACATCATGTTACATAGCTGATTACAAAATAATCATTTGTCCACCATGTCCTTTATTTTTTTTCACAATGAGATTACAGCAAAAAATCTTCTATATATCATATTAAATATTTAAATAGCAACATGTGCATTAATAGGCATGTAGTCTGAATGCTGATATTCAGCCACACTGACATGAAAAGCTGCCATACTCATGAATAATTTCATTTTTATTTTTGATATCTTTACAAATGAAGTCAAATTGCAATATATTCCCTAAACACTGAATATTATATTTCAGTAAGTCATTCTCAAATTTTCATGTTTTTTATTTTAACCTTCCAGTACACGCATATGAGCAAAATTTACGACAAATTCAGTTTTTAATGCACATTTTTTGCATATCAAAGCTGAGATGTCTGAACGTCATTTCTATTTCTATTTCCATTTCTACCTTCCCCACATCATGGAATGTGCCAACAGAAAGTCATTTGACCTTTTTTTTTTTTTAAACTGGGCATTTGTGCTTTGTGGCAGCTTTTCTGTAAAAGTTACGACATGCGCATGCTCGTGGGTGAAATTCAGAAAATATTTTTTTTTAATTGGCGAGTATTATTTAATTTGAATACATTTGGCGCTGTAAATTTTATATAAATTTTCATGGCAAAAAAATATGCGCAACCAGCTGATTTTGCTCACATCTTCAAGAAATATCTGATGAAGAAAAGGAAGACAAGAAACCTTTGGATGAGAGAACAATAGCGATTTCCATTCTTTATTTATTTTATTTCTATGTTTTAGAAATAAATAAATATACTAAAGTTAGTTTAAAGTGCGTTTTGTAACCAGTAACGAAGTAATATTTCCTTGCAGAAGTAAGTAATGCTAAACCTACTTTTCTTCCTACCAATGTGTTTTACTTTTTTATTTGTCTATACTTGCCTTTGATGAATATTAAATTTAGCTTCGATATTAAAATTAGCTTCGATTTTAAATATAAGCATTAAATAATAAATTTAAAATTTTCTATGATGAAATACATCATTGCATTCGCAATCTCGCTAACATAAGAACTTAAAAATAATTTACTTATATTTGACTGCAATATCATTTTGCATTTTGCAATAATAAGATTAATATTTTATTTTTTAACAAATTTATTATCAATATTCACTCATTTCTGTCGTTTTTCATGCCAAAAACAATAAAATAACGAATGTCATAAAAATACAATGAGCACATACTCATGTAAAATTGCCAAGCGTGCGTGCTGGAAGATTTAGACATGATCACATTTTTTTAAATGTTTGATAAGATTACACTGCATGCATCTTGTGCTCGCATGTATAGCCAATTCTTTTATCAACTATTATAAATAAACCATTTTTATATTTTAGAAAGAGTTTAAACTACCTGGTTCATCTTGCCAGTAATCTATGCTTATCTCAAAAATGAAGCCATGCAAGTCTAAGTACATGCTGTATTAAGGCAAAACCATGAATGGCTCATTAAATCAGTTATGGTTCCTTGTTTTTTTACCTCGGATAACTATGGCAATTCTAGAGTTAATCTATGTAGCAGAGCTCCGACTCTCTAAATACAAGCTCTTTTATTAGACCAAAAGCCAACTGGACCTCGTGTCCATATTCAGTGCTGATCCTAGACCATCGGTCACCCAGGTGCAAATTAAAATTGGTAACCCCTTTTTTACAAACCTTATGCTTTAAATCTGAAAATTAATTACTTTAATTACTTATTTTGCCGCCTTTAAATTTAGCCATCCACATGCTGTGCACCATCTTAACCCCCTTATGCCTGCGTTTCTGCTAAACATTAATGGCTGTTATCCTAATGTCCACCTCTTATCAGTGTTTAACAGACAAAGCTATCTAGCCTAACCTGTTTCCTTGGACTTATTCAGAATCTTTTATGAATGGGTCGGGGTAAGGGGAGAATCATTTATATTATTTGTTATCAATTTTCTTAGAATATAAGAAAACCGGTCTTTATTACAGCTTCTAGAGAGCTGTGTCAATTATACCTGCAATACAGACAACCCTGCTAAAAATGCCCCATACAGATCCATAACAAATTGTATGGGGATTTGGCCTATGGATACCCAAAAGAAAATCCCCATAAAAACAAAGTCAACAGAAACCCAGAAAACAAATCCCCATAAAAACCAGAAGACAAAAACCTGTAGACCTGTATGGGTAGACCAAATCTCTATAAAAACACCTACACCTATACAGGTACCTGTGGACTGTAAAAAAAAAAAAAAAAAAAGAGTACCCAAACCCACAGACCATACACACAAAAAAAAAGTGGACAAAAAACCCATAAACAAAACCAATAAAAATACGGGTATCCATACACAAAATCCCTATGAAAAACAATACACAACAATAGAACTGACAATCAAATTCTCATAAACACTAAACTAATTATAAGTAAACTAGAAACGTACACAATTATCACTAATGAAATATCAAGATTATATGGAGGGGAAGCATGTAAAATAATTTTAAATAAATTTCAATGCAAATAAATTTTATAAAATCTTAAATACCTAGAAGCTACAGGCCTCTGCACTTCTCCATGCATTTAGTACAAATGTATTACAAAACATTTTGTATAAACTCTCTTTCTTTACGAAATTTTAAATTCCCCTTATATAATTTTGAAAGTCAAATTAACAAAAAGATAATAATGAGACATGATTTCCAACCATGGAATGATATATATTATATTATATATATACGCACACATATCATTTGATGGTTAAGAATCATGACTTGTTATCTTTAGTGATGATTATATTATATATATATATGTATCAATAATTCATAATAATTATAAGAAAGCTTTCCATTACCATCTCCAAGGAACAGAAATTCAATTTAAAAAACATGAAATAGGAAAAGAAAAACATTTTTATTCAGTATTTTAATTAGTATTTTCTAGACCTCTTGCTTTAAAAATCTGCACAGAAAAATCTTTAATCACACACACAGACACACCACACACACACACACACACAAAAAAAACAATAAATAAATAAATAAATAAATAAACATTTTTAAGTAAAGAGAAGTAGCTATTGTCATTGATTGCAGATTAATCGACTTATAAAGAGGAATAAACCAATCTACCACCAATTAACAACAACTAATTAAGAGAGAGTGTTTTGTCTTACTTCCAAATGCTAGGCCAAGTAAGCATTAAATTTTTTGTTATATCCAAATCACAAGTCATAAATTAATACTCAATCAGAATAAAGACATTAGTTCATTTAAGCCAAAAGAATCCGGTTAAACAAAATAAATAGCAAATACTCTTTAAAATTTAAGTTGCTCACTAAGAACACA